CACACACACACACACACACACACACACACACACACACACACACACACACACACACACACACACACTCCAGGAGGAGCAGGTGTTTTTAAGTACCCAATTGTGCCGCTGTGAGCTGCATCCTCAGATGTGCATCAGATGGGTTTAGGCAAAGAATTAATTTGAGCTGCCTCTAGAAGGGGTAAATTGGCAGTAAGGGGTGGGGTGGACTGGGGGAACAGCACCACCCACCTAGTCCCTAATCAGGTGAATGTTCCTAACTCAATATCGGGCACCAATGGTCACACTCAATTATCCTCATCCTCTACCTCCCAATCTGTTCCCCCAATTCCCTAATAACCCCCTAGCCAACTCCCTCAAGATATGAGGCTTCTGCTCTTGTTGGCCTCCTCAGGAGCGACACATCCAGTCAGTCTTTGGTCTCTGATTCTTAAAATTTACCAAAGTCAAAATGAAAACAGTGGATATTTGGGGAATATGTAAAAAGTTTAAAGATTCACACTTAGCATGAATACTGGGAAAAGGCAATAATAGCTCTGTTGTAAACTAACCTGATGTGAACCTGAATCTCACACATTAGCATGCCATATTTTATGTTTTATCTTGATTGCAAATTAGATCATGATAAATCAAACACTGGAAAAAATCCTAAAAACTAATATCGCATCATTTGACTCGCCTTAAACTTCCAAAATACCTCCCGGCTGCAAAGCATTAAGGGTTTAACACCCAGTCCTCAGTGGAATAACGGGTTATTTTTACAGATGCACTTGGCAAGTTTCCACATTGGCTGTTTCAGATGTTGATACGAGGTAAACTGCTGGTGTGTGTCTGTACACAGCACTGCTTTACACCAGAGGAGGAAAAGAAAGGACAGAGCTCAAATCTTTGCCGTTCCACCTTTCCACTGGTCAGAGCCTTTGTGTAATTTAGGCAGATAACCAGACCGCTGGCGCCTCACTCCTTTCAAGCTGTTCTTGAGAATAACATCAGTTCAAATGTCTGCCAGTTTACTACAGAGAGGGGTTTGATGGCAGAGCGTCTTGTCATTGGAAGATTTGTTTTAGGGGAGTCCAACAGACCTGATGAATAAAGTGCCAGGGATTTATTACAGGATTTTCCAGCAGGCCTTTGAAGTGAGCGACTGCTGCCTCTCATCTACCAATCCACACTCAAAAATGTGGCCGTGTGGATATATTTATTACCGGGCTATTTTTAGAGCGGTGAGTTTTTGCTAAAGCGAGTTCACTGCTGAGGAAAAGCCTTGCAACAGCGCAAGTGAAGCGTCAGCTCTGCACATGGAATATGAGCTTGTTTTCCTTTTAATTAAAGATGTTTACGCCTTAAGAGTAGTGAGATGTAACCCACTTCTCTTTGTGGAATTAATTAAACAGTTTTCTTTTTTTTCTTTCCTTTTTTTAAATATCATCTCTTTGATTAGTTTTCATTCCTTCCACACATAAACTTCATGTAGTGGCACACACAAGTGACACTCCACACCCCCGGAGTTGTATTTTGATATGTTTCCACCACATAAAGTTTGGGAGTAATTAGGGTGTATCTAAGAACATGGCTATGTTTTCATCCCCTCTGACCCAGGCCGTTATCAAACATCTGCTGAACCAAAGCCAAAAATAAAAAACGAGGGCTGTCATGGTGGAAGAGGGGAATTCTTCAGATGCCCCCTCCCTGACCATTCTGGGCTATTTTAAGTATGGCCAGAAGTTGGTGTGTAATGATAAGCTGTGGGGCGTAGCTGACATGCCTGCCATATAATTCCCTTTATGACTCAGGAAGCAATGGTTACATTGCCCCCCTAACCCTCCAGGGGTGTGAATCATTAGAGTCTGTCCGCAAATATGCCCAATCAACAGGGCCTATGGGACTCTATTTCTGTCACTTATCTCAAGTAGTGGATAACTTTGAAAACAGACAAGGATGCTATTTTTGAGCGCAGTTTTCCATTTCCCAGCCCTGTTTCCATTTTGAAACCTGACCGGCTGATTACTGTAAACTCAAACCAGACATAAATGTTTTAGGAAGAACAATTCATTTAAAAATACTAGATTCTCGAGAGTTATAATGAGAGATTTTGTTCCTGTAAACAGAAAATGAAACATTTTCTTCTGTTCAGATGGTTGTGGAGTTTAACTTTGGAAGCACATTCTCCTTGGTAGTATTGCAAGAAAGAGCCAGACTCCACTCCAAATAAATAAATGATCAGCATGTAGGAAACTTCAAAGAGGGATTGTGTGCTTCAAAGGCCCTTATTGGTGCTCACCGGATCCTATTGTAAAAGAAGGCTCTTTTTATGCACACATGTACACACCCTTTGAAAGCCATACATTCTGTTTTGGTATCCAAAGCTGTTTAAGATTCAAATGCTTGCATCTGCATTGGTGAACCCCTGCTGAGCTAGACCGCCTCCTCGAGACAAGATCAGCTAGAAAATATCCAGAATGCTTTGATATAATGCAACTGCTGACTGAGTGTCAGCTCTTGATTTTTGTAGAGAACCTTCTTGTTTAACCTTCTAGTGTCTGCCACGTCAACCAATATGCAGTATACAGCATATCATGACTTGTAAATGAATGCAAATGTCTTTACTGATGCACACGGGAAAAAATGACAGTTTCTTAACATGTCAGGTCGTTAAAAACGTGACAGTTTGTTGGAAAAATATCTATATTTTTGTTTATTGGGCAATCCACTCTGGCAAAATTGGAATGTTTTAAATATTTTTTCTTCTTTTAACTGTGTTTTTCTCCCACCACAGACTTTCTCTATCAGTTGCTATTGCACGCTAACAATACATTTTCAATTAATCACATTATCACCCTTCACCAGTGAACAGGGGAATCTGGAGGCCCTGGGATAGCTGCCAACTTTGCATGATTAATGTTCTAGCTGTAAAAAATGGAGCTACACTTTGAGTAATGAAGCTTTTTTTTTTTAAATATAAAAAGCATTTTTTATTTTTTAATAAAATGTGGACAAACTTTAATAATGTGATGATGCTCCAATACTTGTTTCTTTACCTTTGAGTTTACTACAAAGTCAGGTAGTTAAAAGAGCCGTTTGGTGTTTTCTATGTTTCACTTCTGTTTTAATCTCTTCCATTTTCTCTTTTGTCTTCCCTTCATTTCTCTTCCCCTCTCCCAGCTCTCTGTTCCTTTTGCCGTTTCATCCCTCTGCTTCTGTTTTGAGAGAGGGATGTCTCTTTTCTAACAGCTCTCAGCCTGCTTATCTACTAGGTCTGTATTACTGTGGGTTTTGTATGTCCAACCACCCATTTGTTATTGTGCTGTCAGCCCCCTCGATATCACACCACCATCAGTTATGAATATCGGGCTGTGTGTGTGTGTGTGTGTGTGTGTGTGCCATTGATGTGCTCTGTAGCCTGCTAATGTTATTTGGAAATCCTGATTGTTTATGATAGATGGCGTGTGCGTGTGTGCCTGATACCAGGCCTGGGTGTCCGTTTGGGTGGCTGTGGGAATCTTGCATGTGTTGGATTTGTGCCTGTAACAGCGCCTGTGTGTCAAAATGCATTATGGCTCTCTGCATGACTATATCCAATGACAGCGCCGTTCCTCCACGCTTATGCCTATGACTGTTCATTTGTAGGGCTGAGATCGTATCCAGAAAGAAAACAAAACAAACAAACACAAAAAAAATCTTTGCTTTTGTGAGTCTCCACTGTGCTGTTGCATCCCCTTTGTTGTTTTTAGAATTGGTGCATTAGGTATTTATTTTTCATCCCTGATATTCTTGCAGATCTGCAGTGAATGCTATCTTCGGTGCCAGGATTGTCTTAATTATAAGAAAGGCTCAAACTTCTGAAAGCAAACACATAATTGGCACCCTGCAGTGCACCCTCATTAATGTGTTTGCTGTGCTGGCCTGCAGTATCAGAGACTTTGTAGTCACCCTTTATGAGGAGAATCTGAGCATGTCCCTTCAGGGTGTTGGCTGGAGAACGCACGGTCAGAGTGAAAAAGATTTGTCGGTAACAGATACACTCTTTGTGTTATAACCCTGTTTCCCTTATCCAGTCACCCACCCTAATTGTTCTATTTTCATCTGTCACGGTGGTGTTTGTTAAAGCTTGTGTATCCTGTCTTGGCCAGCAAACAAGCCGTTTGTTTTGACTTTGATCTGGAGGCATGCGTCAGCCATTTGATGTCACTCATCCAGCCTTTTTTGGGTCTGGGTGTGTTAAATGACCTGGTGCCCCCTCTTCCTCCCCCTTTTCTTCCCTTGGAAGATCTGTAAAACCGCGACCGACACTGAACATGGAGGATTATGATGTTCGCTCAGCCGCCAGCATCCTGGCCTCAGTGAAAGAGCAGGAGGCACGTTTCGAGCAGCTGACCCGCGCCCTTGAGGAGGAGCGTCGCAACGTCAACCTACAGCTAGAGCGTGCCAATCTGCCTCCCAACCCCCCCACCAGCCAACCACTACCATGGCAGCAAGTGGTGATGCAGGTAAACGATGCCAGCACACTGGCCGACCACCCCCCTCCACTCCTTGTCCTTTTCAACCACCAACCTGCGCTATCATGTATCTCCCTCCATGCATCTCTCTCAAAAGTGACACCTCTTCTGCTCTCGCCTTCCATCTGAGCCGGCTCATCCCATCACCATGTTTGCTCGTGGTCATTGCTTTTCATCATTCGTGGGACCCCCCGCAATCTCTCTGTTCAATTTCCCTGTAATTTTGATACTTGTACCCATTGTATGACTCCAATGTCCTGGATGGTGTTCAGTAATCTGCTGTGCGGTGACTCATCTTTAAAAGCGAGCTAATGAGATTCAACCTCTCATTCTGTCTTCTTTCGCCCCCTCCTTCTATGCCACTGCCATCCAATCCCATCTCCTTTCGCCCACTGGTCTTTGATATTGTCTGGTGGTGGTGCTGATTGGATGTGGCCTTTTGCCCAGCCCTGGCCAGCGTCTGGGGGACATTAGATTCCTGGCGAGGGTTTCTGTCAATACTGGCTGACTCTGCAAGAGCAGGAAATGCAAGATGTAGAAATAAGACAGCTGCAGTCTCCTTAAAAATGACAGCAGTCACAACATGCACATTCATTTGCATGCTACAAACTGATGGAAAATGTTGCAATTAGAGCTTTTTTTGTTAAGAACGCCCTGGTCAGGTGACATGAAGTCTTATTTTTCTGCTTATTTTCAGTCTTTGAAGATCTGACTAACCTACACATTTCAATTTTGCTGACTTTCCCACAGCATCCTCTCATGTTTTCACTCCCAGGCATAATCACTTCTTTGAAGAAACCCTTTCAGACTGTACACATGTTTTACTAACTAGAATTTGAAAGCACAGTTTGGTGATGCCGCACCTGTGGTGCTTGGATACATCACCTTTAATCACAGAGAAGGAGGCGGTCTCATGTATTATTGATATAGCAAGACGTGCAGAGAGAGAAATGCTTTGTCTACATTTGCCTGTGCTTGTATTTGCCCATAGTTACAATTTGTTAACAGTCCGTGCTAGTGTTCATTTTTTTAAAGGGCTTGCTGCAAATTTGGTCTCACGAAGGGTTAATGAAGAGAATGTGGGAAAAGTGTAAAAAGGGTAAAATAAACTTGTCAGTCACTCACACCAAAAAGGTAATATGTGTAAGAGAGGAGGGAGAGCGAGACCCTCCCCTCCCCAGAGGTTAGCCTAATTTGGAGAACAGCGAATTGGCTCTCACTCTCAGACATCCCCCTACCCTAACTGTTTGTGAACCAAGGGGTTAATTTGGCACAACTGAATACTGCTGTTTACCTGTTTACATCACTTTGAAATGTCATTTTGCCACCAGGAATTTTCCTGCTGGCGTTATCGTAAATGCTTAAATGCCAGAACAATTTCTATGCAGGCATTTGAGGATGGAAGGGGACGTTGATCAGTGCCTGCTCAGCACCTAAGTCCTTGGCAGCTGCCTTTGCCCAGCCTTTCTGTGCCAGGTGTTACCGTGTCTGTGTCGTGAGATGCTCTCCATTCAAATAACGATGTGGCACGAAGGATGAGGAATTATTATTTCTTTATCTCTGCTTCCTCCTTGTTCAGCTCCCGAACACACACACACACACATACTCGCATGCAGTCCAAAAGCTGTATGATGGATTACGATGGCGCATGGATCATTGACTCAAGGTTCAGATTCACAACCCCGGGGCCAGACACAATGCATAATTATTTCAAGTTGATGTCAGGAAAGAAAAAAGTGGACCTGCTCTGATGAATGAAATCACATGCAAGTAGACACCTAATGAGCGCAGTAAGCCACTGATCTTGATAGCACCCCACCACAGGGCGCTCACCTCGGCACAGACTGGGTCTCAGCATCAGTGGGCAGTGCGCGCTCGTTTATGCCTTTATCACTGTTGTCAGCTTTTTAACACAGGCTGCTCAGTGGGCAGCAAATAAACAGAAGCGATGGTTTATTTAAACATATCCTCACAGCACTTCATGACCTGTTACAAATGAAACACTCTGATGCTCAGTGCTCTCAAGTTTCTTTTATGTTGCCCTGAACACAAACTAATTGACTCAAATGCATCATACAATCATTTGGAAATATAGCACGTTTTCCACAATAAATTTGAAGCCAAGGCTCGTCCGTATAGTATGTATGTTGTTTGCCTTTTCACATGTTAAACTGAAATCCCAGTGACTGTTTGGAATTTGTGGAACTTAGTCCATGTGTTCATGGTCCGCAGAACATCATTTATTTATTTATTTGTGAAGACCTTTCATCTCACGCAACATGAGATCGACTTTTTGTTATTTGCAAAATGACTCAAGAGCTATTAGATGAATTGCCATGATGTTAACAACAAACATTTGTGATGCCCACAGAAAAAATCTTTGGAAATTTGCAGTAGGTTGTCATTATGTTATTGTTTTATTACCATCACAGTGTATTGAATATATGAACGCTAACCCAGAACCAGCTATCCGCTATTATTGAACAAGAAATTTGTGAAAAATGTTGAAATGACTTCATAAATATCCCCAATTTGAGATGGTACTTTTTGAGATAAACATAAGCGGGATTGAAGGATTTCCCTATATGGAAAATTTCATCTCATTGTTGATCCAGGTTCCAATTGACTCCCAACTCTCTCTCAACTAGCTTCTTCTGTGCTAAAGCCGTTTCTCCTGTCTTGTCTAGTTTCTTGTCATGCTCATCTAGAACTTTCTGAAGCACTTGTTCAATATTTCTGGAGTCTGGAGTTGAGCTGTCAGAATGGTTGATGTCCAGGTTTTCCTGGTCTTGATTTACCTTTGCTGCTCTAGCATTTGTTTACAGTAGCAACTTTCCGTTCGATCCCCATGTACTGCTGCCTCCACGTATGCTTTGGCAAGTCCACTTAAACTTTTTGAGAACTCCAGCAGCAAAGAGTGGTGTGCCTCCTAAAGTGCCCCCAAAACACCTATAACCACACCTTCTCAGGTTTGGACAAAGACTCTTGCATTGCCAATCCAAGACGACTAGGTCCTTCAGACCTATTCTATGAAGCTCTCAGTGCACAGTATTTTTGCTAAAGTTACTAATCTATAATAATAAATTACAATACACTTATGGCTCATTGTGGAATAAGGACATTTCGCAAATTGACTTGTTGCAACAGTGACATCCTATTACAGTACCATGTTCAGATTAATTTAGCTCTTTTCTCACTCTTCTTGCAGTTGGGACCTTGGCTTTAGTAAAACCATGATCAAATTTGAGCTATGGTGTGGGCTATTGAATTGCAGTAGCCCAGAGGAGAATGAACATCCCAAACTTTATGCTGCCATTTTTCAGGCCGTCAACTTTTTTATTTATTGCCATATTCACAACATACTTCATACCGTGTACATTATAACATACCGTAATAGACCCATTTCTGTAACATACTCACATATCTATATTATTGCTAATATATATTGTAATATATCTATATCACTAAAGCACTTCTGGATGGATGCAAACTGCATTTCGTTGCCCTGTACCTGTGCATGTGCAATGACAATAAAGTTGAATTCTATTCTAATTCTATTCTATTCTACAGGTCAAACATTGTTCAATACTCACTTTTTGAGCACATCGATGCAAAGTGATTGTATTCATTATCAGCTTTCAGATTCAGTTTAGTGCTAATTAGCAAAGATGCTTACATGTTAAACTAAAATGGGAAAATTGCTAAATGTTACCTTCTAAAAGTAGGATGATTCCTCCAATGTTAGTAGTACCCTCATACATCACTGAGTATGGCGACAGACTCGTGGTGTGTTTAAACAAAAGAATTATTCAGGCTAAAGCTGAAATTTTGTTTTCTTGGACAAAAGATGTTCTATGATATTTTTTCCGCCAGAGCTTGGAGGCAAAAGAAAAGTTTGAACAATCAACAAATCAACAAACCACCCACTGTCATTTAAGTCTCCCCGTGTAGTTGTCATGCACACATCTGAAGAGGATTAAGAAATATTCAAGATTAAGATGTTTCAAATATTTCTTTATTTTGTTTTGGACCTGCATGAAATTAACACAAGTTACAAAAAGGCAGATCACAACAATATGTTTTAATCTCTCTATTACAAAAGGTTGTTGTAAACACCACTGCCCTACTTTCTAATTGAATTCTAATCCTCATTCACTTCAGGATAACTGTTTATGAATTGCTGCCAAGGAAGAGAATTAGAGTGTTTATGCTACACTGTCCTGTGAGGAAAATCAAAACGAGGCTGTTGGACTCTCCATTAGCTTGTCTGATGAAATTATCAGCAGAAATTCAGTGACACGGACCAGGGAGCCTTAGAATCTGTATCCATCAATAGGATCATGCTAGGATCACACGCTTCCTTTATTTGCTATCATGTTAGCCTCCCATAATTGATTTTGGCCTGAAGGAGTGTTATCACCAAAGCTCTAAAAGGTCAAGTAGTGCATGGTGACAAACCTATCTGTCGAGAAAGGCAGACAGCACTCAGACAGCCATGTCTGTCTGGAGTTGAGATAGAAGGTGACCTCATTTTATATACACCAGACAGCTAATCTACCCACGGCACTGCGCAGGACATGCATAGAGCCCATTGAAAGGTGCATATAGCAAAGCTACAGTTTTGCAAAGCAACTTCAGTGAAAAGGAAACTTGGGATAATTTTTGCACTGTGGATGCTATAAAGTGTTGGTGTTTGGTTTTCTGACACTATAGTCAGTGGTCTTCTAGCATAGCAGAGGCATATCATCCCTTTGTGCAAATGATGTGGGAAGTTTTCAAAGGCTTGTGTGATTTAGAGAGAGGGAACAGTGCTGCCTTTGATCTGTGCTGCTGTCTGTGTTGAAGATGTACAGGCCCCGGCCCTGCAATGGCACCACAGCGCTCAACCAACAATCGCCCCAACCTCCCTCCACCCACTTTCATCCCCAGAACACACAGCCCCCCAGCCCTGGCTAAGCACAATGGATACAAAGGGCGGAGGGTGCTATAGC